AAATTAAATCATAAAAAGTGTACCTGCTCAGGAAATGTGCTACCTTCTAGGGGCCATTCTACGATATGACACAAAGCTGCTCTTTCCTGTCCTCCAGTCAGACATCCAAGAAAACTGTCCCCTCTTGTAGGAAAGGCTCAGGATATACGCTGGGACAGGGGCATAGGTCAGAGGAAAACGACTCCAAGGACCGATCTGGGTCGTTCCATTTCTCCTAAAGACAAGGCTTGGTGCAACAATCACCGTCTCCCTGTAAGTTTAAATTTGTTGTGAAAATCTGGGGCCTGTAATTACCTGAAGGATGGAACCTCCCTCCTGTGCTTCTCATTACCTATGCAAAGAGAAAATCTGAAGATATTTGAGATCTAGCATTTCTCAGTTTGGAAAACGGTGACAGACAAGGAAACCCTCATTAGCATTTCCATTTTGCATTTCAAATAGAAGGGGGGGTGTTCAAAACTGAGCCTGCTAAAACTTTAAAGCATCCCTTAATTATATGTTTGGTAATGCCTGAAAGGCTGAGGAGTCCCTGAAAAAAAAGGGGGGTGCTGACTAAATTTCTATGCCTTTTGAGGGTGGATAGGAAGAATGCAAAGAATCTTAAAGTCCCAGGGTGGAAGGAGGCTGCAAAGGTGATTTACTATTTTCCAATCCTGCACTGTGGTGAGGATAGGAGAGATGAGGGGAGAAGGCTATGAAGATGTTCCCAGAGTGATAGGGTTCTCCCCTCTTTAAACAGCCATCTCACCTGGAGACCCACAGCCTTCTGGGGAGGCTGCTCCAGCATCTACTGACTGATGGTCAAAATTCCTGTCTCTCATCTCACCTGAATAGTTCAGACTTAATAACTCATTCTCTTTGGGCTATTAATGATAAACCATTGGTAAAGACAGGCTTACTTTCTAAAAGGCATAGTACAGACTATGAGATGGAAGTGTCAGGTACAGAGACTTTGAGAAATGTTTTCTTATTTCTTTTTTATCCTTCCTTTGTCTTACACAAACCTTTCTCCCCCTCTTCTTCTCCCTTTTCCTCATTTATCATTTTATTCATCAATTACAGTATTACTTTTTGTTAGTAAGATGTTATCAACTTCAAAAAGCTTTTAGCAATTTACATTTTATGAATGTAGACATTAAAGTGGGTGTCTGAATATCTTGAAATAGCCAATATTTCCTATCATTATCTAATTGAATATTTTTGATATTAGAATGCTATTTTCTACGAGAACTTTTCATGTAAATTGTCTAGATTAAAAACAAATGAGATGTTCATGTATGGCAGAAACCATCACAATATTGTAGATTAATTATCCTCCAATTAAAAATAAAATAAAATTAGAAAAAAATGAGAAAGCCTTACCAAGAAAACTGACTTTATCATGCTATACCTTCTCAGTATCCTGTCCCCACTGGCCACCCACAGCCTCTTACTCTCACCAAACCACGACTGCTTCCCATCCTTATTGTTCTCCCCCATTCGTTCTACTCAGCATCTCCTTCTGGTCCACCCACCTCGAACACCCATCTTCTCCTGGCAGGTTCCTCCACACAGACTGTCCAACAATGAAACTTCACATCTAGGGTTTCTCTCATGCCTCTCATTTTCACTCGCACTTGCTATTACCTTTTCCTACCTGACCCTTTCTGGGGTGATTATCAAAGCATGACCCTCCTTACTCAGCAGCAGAATATAACTGCCATCTACCTCTCCCCCAGAATTCAGTAGTGATTTAAAAGGAATAAAACAATTATAAGAGATATCGCCTGTAGTATATAGTTCTATCAATCTAGACCTATAATATTAATCCTTTTTTAGTCATGAAGCCCTTTGAGAATCTGCTGAAAACGAGGAACGTTAGAAAAGTACACGCAATTGTGTACGTGTTCAAAGCAGGGTGTGTGGATCCCTGACATTAGGTTAGGCACTTCTAGGTGATCTGAGGTATGTCTTGGACAGAGATGGCCACTTAGAAATCATGGTCCCCAAACAGCATCGTTTGTGGGATTCTGGAATTGATCTCAGAGCCGCTCCCTGACGTTAAAACCACAGTACATGATTGAAAAAGCCTGAAGAGCACCACCCAAGAAAGTAGTTTGGTTGCTAAGTCATGTCTGGCTCTGCGATCTGGTGGACTGGGCATGCCAGGCTCCTGTCTGCTCCTCTGTCTCCCGGAGTTTGCTCCAAGTCACGTCCATCGAGGCGGTGATGCTCTCTAACCATCTCACCCTCTGCCACCCTCTTTTTCTTCTGTCTTCCATCCTTCCCAGTATTAGGGTCTTTTCCAATGAGTTGGCTCATTGCATCAGGTGACCAAAGTATTGGTACTCGGGATTGCAGTCAAAGAAGAATTATACCTGAGGAGTGCGGCCACTCACTCACACCTCTTTGAGCTTCAGAAATCCTGCTTTCTTTCCTTCCCAGGAAACCTTGCCAGGCACACCCCCATCTGCTCACTCTGCCGCTTGCCTTTGCTCCTTCACGGGTCTGCAGAGTTGACACCTAAGGTTGACAGTGGCTTTCTGGAGGTTTGTCCTCAGCTACCGCTTTCTCAGCGAGGCCACCCTGTTTTGGAACGGAAAGGATCCCCACTCTCCACACGGTTCCACTTCTCCCCCTTGTTTGACTTTCCCTTACTGTTGAGTAGTCTCTCAGTCCTGTCCATCTCTTTGTGACCCCGTGGACTGTAGCCTGCCAGGCTCCTCTGTCCATGGGATTTCCAGGCAAGAAAGGGCGTTGGCTGCCATTTCCTTCTCCAGGGGGTCTTCCTGACCCAGGGGTTGAACCTGGGTTCATGCGGTAGCGGGTGGATTCTTTACTGCGGAGCCACTTTTCTTCTTTTATTGCCTGTCTCCTTCCACCGAATGAGGAAAATGGTCTGTTCTGTTCAATGGCCTACCCACAGCCCCTAGAATAATGCTTGACCACAGAAGATGCTCAGATTATTTGTTGAATGAGTAAATGAACAAAAAGATGAAGGCATCCCTCTTTCTAACTGCCTGCCAGGAAGCTCAGGATAAAATTTCCAGTTGATCAATGTAATGTGTATAGAACTTTGTGGTATGCATTTTTGTATTCAACTTACTCCTGACTTCATTTTATTTTTTCCTTCCTTTTATGCCCTTTCTCTCATTTTCTCAGTCACATATTTTGTACTTTTTGTGTGTGTGTTATATATAATTTTATCAACCACTTCAAATCTGTTTTAAAGGGGGAATGAAATTCATGCATTATTTTTCTTTCTTCACTGTTATCTCCTCTCTTCATTTTTTTGTCTATTTGTATATTTTAGAATGTTTCTCCCACTATTTTGCTTTTTTTAGCCATATCTTTTGTATAGAAACATGTGTCCTAGCATGCAAGTGAAGGTTGCAGTCTGTGATAGATAGATAGATAGATTATAGATAGATAAATAGAGTGATAGAGATAGATATAGAGATCCTGAATTTGTGTTATTTTGAATATAATTACAGAGGATAAATTTGTGAATGTTTGTCTCTCTGGAAAGTTTCTTCAGACTTGGAGAAACTTATGTAAATCTGTACTAACAACTGTACTAGACATATAGAAATAAGTTCTGCACAGTGAAATTTTTATTTCTAAACTTAACTGAAAATAAAATCTCCTTTTCTAGTATTCTAGTGAAAATGATCATCCAAAGGGCTTTTCTGTCCTCATGTGACTCAATGAGGTGTGTTTCTGAAACGGTCTCCACCAAAGTGCCCATAAAGGCAGGAGGAGAGAGCGAGTGTACAACAGCAGGACTTTAAAGACTTGTATTTTCTCTTAAAAACACATATGAAGCTGGCTTTCTATTACATTTTACATAAGGATAGTATTTTAAATTACTTATCATTGAGAGAAATGGACTGTCCCTGAGCAGATATCAGGTAGATCCTGGATGTGCAACACTGATCTAGCACATCACTAGAGAGAAATTCTAGGGTTTATTAATTCCATGGAGATTGAGAATATCAGAGACAGAAGAGGCACTGCCTTATCTAATTCTTATTTTTAAGTCTCCGGATACTTCTACTATTTGAAAATAATTTTTGAAAAATTTCCTTTAACTTAATAAAATCCTTCTAAGTCCAGCACCAATGTTGCATCTTCCATGACCTAATTCCCATAACGGGAAGTCGGGGCACCTTATTCTAAGAGTAAGTGGACTAATGCTATTTACTTAGATCCTAAAATGTACTCAAAGGAAGGGACTGAGAAAAACATTGGAGGGATGCTGGCATTTACTGAATTCCCATAATATATCAGCATGATCATTAATGATCTTATTTAATATTTGTACTGATTCCATGAGGTTTCTGATGTTATTCTCAAATGAGGACGCGTAAGCTAGATGTTGGTTAACTTGCCCTGACTCACACTGTTAGAAAGTGGCAACAATATTTAGAAGTTTGAGCTTATTTAGTTTCAAAATCCATAATTTTTCAAGACCTTGAGGTCACCTTTTTGGTCTCGATAGCATTTATCTTTCTTAAAAAGAGAAAAACAAATGCACCTGTTAATTCTAAAAATAGAAATGCTAATCAGCATTCTATGCTGCTTTCTATTTACCAACAAGTGTCATGTCACCAAAGAATGAAACGTTAGAAGAGAAGAAATGAAGAAGCGACTTCATGACTGGTAGCTTGAGCTACTGCCAGACTACTAACATCTATCTGGAACTGACTGAAAGTTGAGTAGCATATATAATGTATCACATACATTATTATATGTGTGTGTGTGTGTGCGTGTGTGTGTTTTCTGTTACTTTTCAAATGTGCAAAGAGACCATGCCGTGCTATCACTTCAGTCGTGTCTGACTCTGCGACCCCATGGACTCCAGCCCGCCAGGCGCCTCTGTCCTTGGGATTCTTCAGGCGAGAATCCTGGAGTGGGTTGCCACGCTCTGCTTTAGGGGATCTTCCGGACCCAGGGATCAAACCTGCATTTCTTTACATCTCCTGCATTGCAGGTGGATTCTTTACCACTAGCATAATTCATTTAAACACAAAATACATTTTACTGAATTCAGAATAGTTTTTGGACCTTGGGTATTTTCCTCACTCAATGAATATTAAAGTATAACTGATAACACAGATATAATAAAAAATGGTGTTTTATTTTAGAAAGAGGTCTTAATGCTAATTAAGGTCATGAAGGATTCCTAAATTTTTTTTTTTAAGAAGGAACTTTGTTCCATGTGGTTTTCAGAAGTACACTAAATTTACTTTTGTACTATTCTGTACTTTTATCTATTGCTAGAAAGATTTTGAAGTACATGGTGGATTTAATCCCATTAATCTTTGGAAATATGATGAGTGGTTCAGTTTCTGATTCTCATAATCAGCTGTTCTCACTGTAAGATATTACTGCCTTATAGGGACATCTGCTGGTGGATAAATAAAGGCCTGCAACAATAAAATACTGCCTTCTCAGTGTTTGCCAGAGCATTGGTCTGAGGCTGTTGCCTTCCTCCTAGGCATCTGCTTCAGATAGTACATGGCTGTTAAAATTCTAAATAAATATTCTATCATTTCATGGTCCTTTTCTTCTCAGGTCACATAAAACTTGCCTTTATTACAAATGTGCATTCTTCTCACGATAGATTCACACGTGTATTTGATTTTTACCTCCAGACTGACCATACACTACCCTGAGAACCTCAGGCTTTCTGGAAGCAGATGTGCTCTGGGGCAGATGGCGTGAAAACTGCAGCCCTTGGGGTTCACACGCTCCATCGTAAGCCATCACCTGTTCTGATACCTGCGCTGGATTTCCAAGTCCTCGTGAAACATGCAAGAGAAAAGAGAAACCACTGTCTTCCCACACTGCAGAACAAAACGTAAATTTGATAATGTTATTAACATCTTAAACTTCCAAACTCTAATTTCTTCATGGGGGTGGGGGGCTTCTTAATAATTTTAGCAGTAAGTTGAAACATTCCTCTCCCACTCAGCCACACAAGGTTATCCAGCAATAATTAGCTGTAGCTAAGTAATTATCACCTTACATTTGAAAAAGGATTACCTGATGAAAGTAAAGCACTGGTAGTATTATTTCTACTAAACTTAACCATCACCAAGAAGATGAAATAATTTATTTTCTTAGGCTGTTTCACTGAACAAGGATCACCTTCATACTCCATCTTTGGAAAAGCAGAACTGTGTTAAATCATATATTGTAGACTTAAAACTAAATTGCCCATAAAAGTCAATATTACCAAGAATACAGTGGAGCAGCTTATTCATGCCACTTCTTTAAACTCATTGCACATTAATGTGCTAATGTGACAGAAAATAATCATCATGTGCCTTCCCAGTGCTGTTTTCTTTATTGTTTATATATGTATATTTTTAAATCAGGTAGAAGATTGTTTCATCAGTTAAGGTATTCCCTACCAAAGGAAGCGACATAATCATTAACTAATTACAACTAAATAATAGCGTGGTGCATCTTGACAGGTTAACGCACATTCTGTTTAGAGTTGAAAGCTCAAGAAAGAGAATAATGAAGCTACTACCCTCACAAAATCTTGTGGGGGGCTTCTTAATAATTTTAGCAGTAAGTTGAAACATTCCTCTCCCACTCAGCCACACAAGGTTATCCAGCAATAATTAGCTGTAGCTAAGTAATTATCACCTTACATTTGAAAAAGGATTACCTGATGAAAGTAAAGCACTGGTAGTATTATTTCTACTAAACTTAACCATCACCAAGAAGATGAAATAATTTATTTTCTTAGGCTGTTTCACTGAACAAGGATCACCTTCATACTCCATCTTTGGAAAAGCAGAACTGTGTTAAATCATATATTGTAGACTTAAAACTAAATTGCCCATAAAAGTCAATATTACCAAGAATACAGTGGAGCAGCTTATTTATGCCACTTCTTTAAACTCATTGCACATTAATGTGCTAATGTGACAGAAAATAATCGTCATGTGCCTTCCCAGTGCTGTTTTCTTTATTGTTTATATATGTATATTTTTAAATCAGGTAGAAGATTGTTTCATCAGTTAAGGTATTCCCTACCAAAGGAAGCGACATAATCATTAACTAATTACAACTAAATAATAGCGTGGTGCATCTTGACAGGTTAACGCACATTCTGTTTAGAGTTGAAAGCTCAAGAAAGAGAATAATGAAGCTACTACCCTCACAAAATCTTCAGAGCCAATATGGGAAATAAACTCTCCAAGAGTTTTCACCAACCGCCTGTCTTGCTTTTACCCTCTTGCTCTTATTGTATAAAAAGCATTTGGATTTATGTTAACATTTTACAATAACACACTAAGCTATCAACTTATTTTTCCTGATTTTAACCAATCATAAATCATTGAATTTACTGACATTCAAAGTTCCAACATGCTGAAATCATCATTCTGGCTGTTGCCTCCAGTACCCATGAAGCAGCAAGATACACGTGGTGACTCAGATGTGAAAAGAACAAGGAGAAGCAAGTCAAGGGAGGAATTTAGTGTTTCCAAATGTAATCCAGTCTGTTTCAGCAGCCAAAACAGACACAAAGACATGCCTGAAATGGCATGCTAGCAATACTGTCTCTGAGGAGCATCATACCCTAACTGAAAAATAACTTTTAAAAATTAATGCAAAATTAAATTATGTACTTTGTGATTTCTTAAACAACGACTCATTTTTTTTTTTTTTTACCATACCAGTGTCTGATGAATGATCAGTGTCTGATCATTCAGACACATTCAATCACACGCATTCCATCAAAATTCTGAAAAGAAAATAATTGAGAATATCTTTCAAAAATCTGTCCTTTATAAAGCTCATAAAGGGATAGTTAATGAATAGGTTTTCCAGTCTTGTAGGCACTCTAGAGTCTTCTAGCTCAGAAAAGGTGACTAAACAAAAGGAATTAGTACATAGTAAACACATGAATGTAGGTATAGAATATCAAGGTATCGTTGTTTTTAAGGTGTTTGTTGTAGCTGTGTTTCCTACACTGTAGCTATACTCATATCTTTCTGCCTTAACTCTACTATCATGAAACTTCATACTAGACTCCTAAAGTTGGTCATTTTCAGTTTACTGCTAGAGAAATGAGGAAAGAGAGGGTATACAACAAAGACTATTAAGGGGTTTTGTACTAAACGTTAGAAACCAATTACAATACAATAGAAGTAGTAAGTAATTTAATTTATTACTTTTTGCAACTTGGGTATGGGGCAATAAAACTTCCTCAACAAATGGTTATACATTTTCCTTGAGAGAGACAAATGAATCATTATTTAGCATATAACAAAAGGGAGTTCAAAAGAAAAAAAAATTAACATCAGAAGGTGGAATGAGATCCACATATTAAAATGCGGTACTAGTATCACAAAACACAAAAAAATGTAGAAAGAATTCAAATTATTTACCTTTCTAGTTTGGCACAAATGTCCTACAGCTAATTATCATGAGATATTGCCTGGAAATTAACCAGTCATGTTGCATTTCTATCTCCAGATTTACAATTAGTAATGCTATTAATGTGGTTCCTGTACTTAGCGTTACTAATTATATTGCTATGAACTAATGGTGTTAAAAATAGCAATAGCCATCAACTACCAATTAATGCTTAATGAGAGCATCTAAACCCTGGCATTGTAATGAATTCAAAGTTATTGTTTCTGTGTTACTCTTGTCATCATGCAAAAATGGGTGTAACCAGTAACCACTGAAGTCGGGCCTTGATTGAAAGCACAGTTACTACACTGCTGCAGGAGAACCAAGAAATAAATGGCTCCCTGAAGGAATGTGGGGCTCTCCAGGCAAGAATACTAAAGCGGTTTGACACTGCCTTCTCCAGTGCACCACATTTTGTCAGAACTCTCCACCATGACCCGCCCATCTTGGGTGGCCCTACGAGGCATGGCCCATAGTTTCATTGAGTTAGACAAGGCTGTGGTCCATGTGATCAGTGTGGCTAGTTTCCTGTGATTTCGGTTTTCATTCTGTCTGTCTTCTGATGGAGAAGGGTAAGAGGTTTGTGGAAGCTAATTAATGGGAGAGACTGACTGTGGGGAATTTGGGTCTTGTTCTAACGGGCGGGGCCATGCTCAGTAAACTTTAATCCAGTTTTCTGCTGATGAGCAGGACTGTGTTCCCTCCCTGTTGTCTGGCCTGCGATGGGGCCTGACCCAGCAGCAGGCCACTGTCACCTACGCCTCTGCTGGAGACTCCTGGACACTCACGGGCAAACCTGACTCAGATGGACGGGGAAGCCTGGCGTGTTGCAGTCCATGGGGTCACCAAGAGTCCTACATGATTGAGCAACTGAACGGAGGGAATATATACTCCATTTTACCCGTAGAATTCAACTCACCTGTTCTAGGGAAGAATCTTTCCTAGGTACACAGCATAAAAAGCCACTGAAACACAATTTGCAAAGATATTTGAAATCCACAAGTAACAAGGGAAATGTTTTAATAACAATTTTTTTGAAAAGGAAGTTTTATGGAGGAATCGTTCAATAAATCATCTCTCCTAGAATTATAGAAGACAGACTATCCCAGAAGCTCACTATTATCAGAAGGCATATTTGAGATAAGAATACCCTATATTAGCTAGAATAGGCTAAGTTACGCTGCAGTAACAAATCCTATTGGCAGCCTAACATATAACATTTATTTCTTGCTCACATTTTGTGTCCAGGACCATGACTTAGGGGCTCCTGCCCGCTGCAGTTACTGCTATGATCAGAGTAACTGTCACGCACTCCGATGATCTTCAGAGGGAATCTGGACAATGGTGCCCTCTGTACTACTTCTATGCAGAAGTGACATATCACTTTAGAAGATATTTCACTGGAGAAAACAAATCGCATGACTAGGTCTAAGTAAAGATAATGAAGAACGGTACCCAGAAAAATAACAGCTGAAATCTTAGTGTACCACCTCACGTTTTAGTTCTTTGGCACCGTTTTAATGACTATAGCAAGAAGACAGTGTCTATGAGAACTTCACTAGAGAACTGCCTCGTGGTGGGGGAACATTGGCAGAACACCAATGCACCTCTTTGAGTTTCCATAATTATGTTTGACGTTGTCACTAAAAAGTCATTTCCAACAGTGTGTTAGTGAGAATACCCTATTAGTATACAGTATTGCAGTACACTAACTTCAATACATCTTTGCAACCTCAGAAATGCACTTTAATATTTCACCTCGACATCAGCCTTTTTCACCCCTGAGTGAGTGAGAGTCACTTAGTCGTGCTTGACTCTCTGCAACCTCCTGGACTGTAGCCCGCGGGCTCTTACGTGCACGGGATTCTCCAGGCAAGAACACTGGGGTGGGTAGCCATTCCCTTCTCCAGGGGGTCTTCCCAGCCCAGGGATCGAACCTGGGTCTCCTCCACTGCAAGTAGATTCTTTACTGTCTGAGACACCAGGGAAAGTCCTAGTCAAGACTGTAGTATATTTCAAGAACAGGAAAGAGCAGAAGCTACCAAAACAAGGAGTAAGAAAAGGAGAAATTTAGCCAATAAAGAGGCTACCGATGTGCACTTGCATGTGAGCATACTCTCAAACCATCACAGGAGTCTGCTTACAGCATCCATGCCAACAGTGCAATAAGGCACTAAAGAAAACCAAGTAGGACACTAAGAGGACTCACAGGACTCAATTACCACATTTACAATCCATACTTTATTGCAGGGAAATCATAAAAGTATAACAGCAGTGTTAAACCAAGGATAGGCACCAGAGCCAAGGTTGCCTCACAGCAACGGGTCCCAGGAGGCTCCTTGCGGACTCCGATTGCCCTTTCTCTGCAGGCCATCCTGGAAGAGCTTTCTCTCTTAAGTCAGGAACCTTCAACATGGATGTAAAACATCTTGGAAATAGGCCCCCCAAATGGAATCTTAGCTGGTGCTTCTAACACCCCACTGGTCAGGCAGGCACATCCTTGCTATGTGAGCAGTCCAAACAGTAAGCTCACGGGTACCAAAACCAGGTCCAAACCACAAATGTTGATGTTATCAATAAACTATATATAGATACTGACAAGCTGGCACAAACTGCCCTGAAGCTTGTGTCAGAACCATGGTTATAAACCACTACTACTAATCAGGCTTGGGGCTTCCCATGTGGCCCAGTAGTAAAGAATCTGTGTACAAAGCGCAAGACATATGTTCAATCCTGGGTCAGGAAGATTCTCTGAAGTAGGAAATGCAACCTACCCCTTGCCTGGAGCATCACGTGGACAGAGGAGCCTGATGGGCTAGAGTCCATAGGGCTAGAGTCGGACACAGAGGAAGCGACTTGCGTGCACACATACAAGGTTATTTTTAAATTTCACCCTACGCCAGCCCAGCCCTCTGATCCCAACCACCATCACTGCAGGGCTGTGACGTAGGTTCTGAGGAAGGTGCGCTTTGGGCACCTTTTCTGTTTCAGTTACCATTCCTGTGTGTGACACATTGCTCCACAATTCACAAGCTTAAAATAACCATTTATTAGACTTGCTGAATGCACACTTAGGAATCTGCAGAGAAGCACATTACAGTGAAAGATCTAGTCCAGCACATCTGGGGCCTCGGTTGGAATCGCCTCAAGGCTCCTTCACTCCCAGGGCTGATGGTTGATCCCGGCTGTCCGCAGAGACCTCAGCTGGGCTTACTCAAGACACCGACACCTCTCGTTGTGGTCATTTTTTCACAACGAGCAGATTCAGATTTCTTATGTGGTACCTCAGAGCTCCAGATAGGAATGCTCGAAGAAAAAGGAACAGAAGTGCCAGCTTCTTAAGGCCAGGGATGGGCAGCTGGTCCAGGATGACCCCACTACGCTCCATAGCCCGGCAGCCTCGGGGCCCGGATTTCAGGGACAGGATGGGACCCAGACCCCACAGCGCAGCGGGGAGAGTGCCGAAGAGCTTGAGGATATACTTTAAAACTAGGACATCTGCCTACAAGCAAATGCATTCAATATTTTGAAAACATTTTATTGTAGTTAAATCTATTTTCTGTTTCCCTATATATCTTTGTGAAACAAATTAAGCTGCTTTCTCAGGAAGCTTGTCATTAGAGTTCTTTCAAACAACTGTTTCTCAAGTTAGCGAGTAGAACAACTGGGCAGATGACAGGGCATGTGGCAAGTTTCATTACAAGTCCTTGAGAAAAGCTACTGAAAACTTCTGGACAAGAATAGAAATCCAACCTCAGTATTAATAGGAAATCACAGCTAGTGAAAACTGCTTGTTTATTTAAGTTTCTTTTAGAGAAAGGGCAGGAAAGTTCAATGATCATGATTTGAATTTATTTATCTAGTAGAATATTCACAGAAGAGTCTTAAATGGATAATATTCACATTGTGACCACTGATTTTTTTAAAAAGGCATCAAAAAGTATCAGTGGTTTTTATGTTATTATTATAGACTAGTTCAATCATAAGAGTTGGTCAAATAAACTGATACCATCATAAAAGTTGCTAAAATAATAAAAACAGAAATTTTTATTTTATATAGCTACAGCTGGCAATTAAAGCTTTTCAATATATTTTCAAATTTTTATGTCATTGAACTTTTCTATAATCAGGAAAGATACTATAGTTTGACGGAGAATGATAGCATATATATTGATTCCATCATTGTAAGCTATAGCCATACCTAAATTATTGTAAAAGTTCACTTCAACTGAAGAATATAAAAAATAAACTCTACTGCTTTTATATTTTAAAGTACTTTATGCTAGATTGGGTTTCATCACTCAAAACATCAATTCAACATGATTTTACTGATTGATATCCTAACCAAACTCCATTTAAGACCAGCATAGGAAATGATAATTGAACTTCTGTTAGCTCTTACACAGGAAATGTGGAAGATATTTGATTTATTTTTACCAGCTAATATATTTTTTATGGAAGATTACTAAGTATACTGAATGGGATGACCGTTTTCTGAGACTGACATTTGTCTTTTCAACGGCTTCCAGGGTTTATTCCCATGAGTTGATTGACTGAGAGTTGCTCTTTATTTTCCTCCACATTTGTGTGTTATCTTTAACACTTGGCAGTTGCCTAATGGATCACTCCTCCCAGAAAAAGAGTGCTACACTTTAGGCACGGTTATAGATATAGAGGACCTTGCTGCTTCTTTACTTTTACTTTTTCTTAGGTTTAAGTTTAAATCATTTGACACTTTTCAAGACTGAAGAAAATGACATGCTCCTACATAAGATATTGATAATTTGGCAATGATATGCTAATAAGTGCCTCCAACTTAAAATAAAATACAAAGTCTCTGAAATGAGGAGAAAAATCTATTTACAAAAGCAAACAAAAGTATCAAAAACATCAGATAAATTTTTATTAAAAAGATATAGTGTCTATGAGAAAGAAAGCTGAAAAATTTCATTAAAGAATGTAATCATGCTTCTTAATGAGATTTTATATTTTAAAAGACCATATATATATATACACACATGTAAACTATACGTATGTATAGTTAGAATTGGTATGTTATAATATCAAATAAAGTTATATTGAAGTTGACAGAATTATACTAAAATTCACATAAAAAAATAAAAACATAAACAAAAGTGTTTTGAAAAAGACAATTCTTGGAGAGAGGGTTTGAAGCACCTTACCTGATACCAAAACATACCATGAAGTCATTGCAATAATAACAAAACAAGCCACTGGAAACCCAATTCAAAAAATCCGCAAATGGAAAATAGTGTTTAGGAAAATAGCAAATAGCTTAGATGGCATTTTTTTCAGAAGTATTAGAATTGTCTATCCTTAAGAATAAAAGAGTTAGAGCCCCTACCTCAAACCATTAAGAAATCTCTAACATAATAAAGTTCTAAATTATAGATTAAAAGTTAGAAAAATACTAAGAAATATTTTTAACTTAGAATAAAGAAAATCTTAAAGCAAATAATTAAGCCCAAAAGCAATAATAGAAAAGAATATATATGATGACATATGAACTTAAAACTTCATATCATAAAAAAAAACTTCATATCACAAAACCATAAATAAAAATATCTGAAATTATATGACAAAAGGCAAACATCTATAAAGTGACAAAAGTTCTTATAAACTGACAAGGAAAAGATTCACATCAAAGAAATACACATGAATAATGAGCATAAAATTAGATCCTCAAATCTCACTGGTAATCAGGAAAAAACAGATTTAAATAGCAGAAAGTATCATTTTTTCACCTACTGAGTTAATAAAAAGTAAAAGCATGACAGCATGCAGTAAAAGTGAGTTTTACTGGCAGGAGTGCGTCATAAAACCTCTTTATAAAATAACATAACATCTTAAATAAAAACAAGACATTGACCCAGAAAGTCACTTACGGGACCATGGGCAGCAGGAACCACAGTGCTGTCAATGCTCTGGAAGGTACGCAGGCAGGAGTGGACTGCGGTTTTATCTAAGTGTCACAGGTACTAGAAAATAAGAGCAACAAAAACCATTATGTCACTTTCAGGAGAATGGTTGACTAGCTTCCAGAAGATCCACATTAAGAAATATCAGGCAGTTATTTGAAAGAAAGTCAGAGCTCTGTATATTGATGTGCAAGAGTGTCCATGATGTATCGAACAAAAAACAGTTTCACAGTAAACTCTCTCACAGAATCCTGTATATATTTAACAAAAGAAGAGGAGAACAGAAATAAATATATATACATCTATATACGAATAAAGTTTGTATAAGCTTAAAAATGACGTGTAAGGATTCCATGAGAGTTACATTTGAGGGGAGCACTCTAGGGGCTAACAGTACTAGTTTAGTTGATTAACAATTTTTCTTTATCTCTTATTTATTTCTCTAAGTATCCACTGCTTTGTGACTTAAAAAGAAAAAAAAAAAACTCAAAGGAAATAGAGTGTCTTGAAATTCAATTTTAAAAGCAAGTTCACTGTGTTAAATAATACAGGTATTCTAGATTTTGCACAGGTTCTTCTCACCCCAAGTTGAAATTTAAAAAATTAATAAATAAATAAAAGGGTTTCCATTTTGCAGCAATAAACCTTTCCTACCACGTGTCTAGTAAAGATGAATGCAAATGAATATAACCACTTCTAATTGTATGTGCAAAGAACATTTGTGCTTCTAAGAATGATGGGGAAACATATTTTAGCACGTTTTATTAGTATATGTTCTTAAACTGCATTACTGAATACCCTATGTATAAGGCACCCATTATACAGCCTGGGCTTATTTGACCTTTGTTCTGTGTTAGTGCTCTGAAAAAGGTTATTATGCTTTCTCATCTGTTTTCAACTTTAAGAGAAGCAGAAGGTAGACAAAACTCAATGGCCCTGATTGGGGCATGATGTTCTAAAGAAAATAAGTGATCAGGAAAGAAGGAGGCCTTAGGACTAGAAGATAATCCCAGTGGATGCTATTATAAACACCTAGAGGGGTGTGTGTGTGCGTGCATGCACATTTCTGTGTAACTTCTTGTGTGTTTTCAAGATTGGAGAGCATGATAAATCCCTTAGTGTATTCCATTCTCCTATCCTATAAGATCCCAGAACAATGTGTCATCTCTAGAGCTCTTGAAGCACAGAGAATCTCTGTACTCACATTTTACATACCAAATAAAAGATAGTTCATCTAGTACTAAATGGATAACTCTACAAAACCTTACAGTAAGTGTGTGATAAACCCAAATGAAATGGCATCCTCTGCTTGGAGAGAAACTCCAGGCAGAGGGAGAGTAGATATTCATCATGTTTTAGGTGCAGAGTGAGGACTTAGTGGTTCTCGTCGTCTGAAGCTGAGAAAAGCAGTTAGTTGAACAATAAGTAAACCACTTATTCCGCTGTTCACACATCGGAACACTGGACCCCGGCCGACTGGTGGGACCCACTGCAGCCCCCCTGGAGCAGTCACAGGGGCCTGAAGCCCGGGCCAGCGGGGGACACCCGCGGGGAGCAGAGCCCGTTCCACACTGAGCCAGGCATGACCGAGCAACGCACCAGGGGCCTTCTGCTCCGGACCAGGCTGCACACAGACAGGTGGTCGGAGGCCCCGTGCAGTCGGGAGGAGTTCTCAGGGGGACGTGAAATCTCTGAAAAGCTGAAACAGGGAGCGCCCCTCATAGGCAGTGCCTTCCTAACTCCACGCAGGTGGCTGCCTGAGCTGCTGACTGCCCTTCGGGATCTGAGGGCGGCCAAGCGGCTTCTCTCTGGCAGCATGCTGTGTTAACGCCTGTTCGAGCTCATCTCTGCAAAGCCATCTCTGTCTTACGTCATTAAAGAATTTACGTCTTTAGGGTACATCTGCTGGTGTCCTTCTGTCAATCACAATACTCCTTATTTGGAGAATAATCCATTCATAACATGAGCTTTTAGAAAGTATAAAGAACATGGTTACCTTTCTAAGCAAACTGAACAAATAGTTATTTGTTTTATTAACTTTTTTATTAATTTTCAAGAATGGCTTGTTTTCTAAGGCTAGCTATCCACTGGCAAAATTCCTGTTTCCATGTGTATGAGACAGTGTAATTATATCTACAACTAGGATGTTATTCAAGATATTCAACAGCTATGGCTTTGGCATGGACCCTACAGAGCAGATGCCATCCACAAACAACTAGTACTGAGGAGTAGCCTTCAGGTACCAGTCCTGTTTGCAACTATCTGTGCAAAGAAAGCACAAAAATAAAAAACATAAATTTGCATTAATCAGTGACTGGTAATGCTTCTCTGGCAGGCTCCTACATAGTCAAGCAACATTGCTAAAATAACTAAATTACTTGCCTCTTCCCTCAGAATTTTTCTCATACAAACAGAATTTGTGGCAGTATGTTGGATTGATGCATTTAAAATTAGGAATTTTAATATTCCTAAGCTTATTTGTATGTATATTTATGTCTCACCTTATTTTATGTAAATTTTGGAAAGATAGTAAAATCTGATTAGTAAGAACTTCACTGACTGCACTTTATAATTCTTGAAAACAATGAGTAAAACACAGTATAACTTGAGATAAGCACATTTGTGTTATACTGAAAAACACATTTTATTAAGAACTGTATTTAAGAATGATATAATTTGATTTATTACTGCCCATTTAAAACTAGTACAAATGACTTTCAGCAAAGTAAATAAAACCTCTTTATAAATATTGCATAATTTTCTCCATCCATTCAAGCCATACCTCTTATTTTCATCTATATTATTTTTGTGTATATCTACCAAATATCTAGTAAAATTTTGAGACCAAATCCATTTTGAGTTTAATTTTTCAAAACAAAGTAAAAAATATCATTGACTATGTTTTTACTTCCATTTGTATCTTCCCAAAAGATAAAATATTCCAGTTTGATCTCTGTACCTATATAATCCTTGACCTCCTTATTAATCACACAAACATGTGCTAGTTAGAATAACATATTTTATGTAGCATATTCTATGTAACATATTTTATGTAGCAATTCCACAATCGCAGAAGACTAGTTTGTATCATAAGAGGAACATATTTCATCAAACAGTTGGAGAAGTCTTCACAGTTGGGCATTTTTACTGCACCTCTTTAGAAAATGCAACTATTGGTAAATTATAAGTCCCATGAGTTCTGTAGAAAATTATCTATATAATTAAATTTCTTTCTGTATATCTCACGTTATCTTTAATTTGAGTTTATAATTACACTTTATTTTTTATGTTGTTTCTTCATGTCTTTCTACATTATTTTGCAATCCATCACAGAACTTGGTATACTCATTACCTGTATACGAGTTTGTGGTCAAATTAAGTCATTAAAATGTGACATGTGACTCTTCTTAAAAAATATATTTAAAAAATTTTTTGTAGGAAGTTACATAAGTCATCTAGCCCCTTCAACTTTAAGAGACATACAAGATACTATCACACTGAATCATTTTGGCATGACAACTGTGTCGAATTTAACCTTTGGATTCAAAGATCTATTCCCATTATAATTCACATGTATGGAATATCAGCAAATGTTCATGTTCAGAGAGATCATTATGTATATCATACTCACATTACACATTGACCTTTCAAATAGGTCATGCAGAAAGAATGAATAACATGAATAAATAAAACCTATGTGTAATAATACAAAATATTCATTTTTGTCAATAGTTCCAACCTATATCTCACAAAATCCTCCCCAAAACTGTTACTAAGGAGCCAAATGGACAGACTCGAAAGGTCATACCCACGCCTTGCCCGAGCTCTAGAGGATGTGCTGATGAGCGCACAACCAGTCAAAAGTTGGCCGCAGTTACAAGGAAGAGAAGCAGGGGGTCTGTGGACGATTCGCAAACTAATCAGCTTCTAAGTAATTAGAACTAAGCCACCATCATTTTAAACTTAGTTACATTCCAGTGTGTGATTCTCCCGTGAGCGCCTTTGCTAAGCATTGCATAATGTCTATTTCCAATCTTGCTATGCAAATATGTTCCCACACTAAGCCTGAAAGATAATATAAAGATTTAAGCAAAAGTCAATCATGTAAAATTTAAAAGCACATTTCTACAGTATTTACTATGGGCCAGGATATATTAGAAGTTCTAAGGATATTGAGATGAGTAAGATACTTTTTCTTTCTTATATTTCTGGCACTTACAATCTGGTGGAGACCTAAAATAAATAACTCAGTGATCTGTTGCAAATTATTCTTTTGTTGAGCAACATAATTGAAGATGGTGGTTATGGAATCCACATCACATTGGCTAAGAAGAAAATGGTGGATACATAAATACAAATGATGCATACACACCTCATTACAGAAGCTCAGAGTTAGAAGAATAAAAAGAGGTTTCTTATTCTAACTTTGTATTCAGTGCAGTATTTTCTCTACAATTCTTCCAGACAAGTGACCCTTTGATTGCCAACTATTTTTTCCCCACTCTCATCCATCTTTACCTATAAAGAACTCTTCCTGGGAATGTTATTTAAATATATAATTGTCCTGCTCTGAAATCTATCACAAAAAGAATCAGCTCCGTAGCGTGCATGGCTTCCAAGACCTTCCGTCTTGGGTGCAAAGTCTTAATAGCCACCACATAGCTCTGGCTCATCAGGTAAGCCTACTTCTCTGTCATATTCATCGCCACCTTGGACTCTGTTGCTGACCTTTGTCCTCTGTTTATTTCAACCAAAGACGTTTTTGGAAACTCAGCTTGAGTCCTACCTCTGGTTTCCCTATCACTGTGACACAGCAGAAAGAACATAACCCATGTAGTCAAATTCTCAAAAGCTAGTTAGCTTCTTTGATATTCGCTTTCTTAACTATAAAATGAAGTGAAATAATTCCTGCCTCCTAGGGCTGTTATGAAAAGAATACTAAGTTCACACGAATCTTTTTTTTTCCCATTCCTTTTGCTTTATTGACCTAGTGCAATTTTTTTTTCTAATAATATTGATGATATTTGTTAATTCTGGCACCCAAGCAACTTGTAAGTTCT